GTCGCTATCGATGCATCAGCGATCACGAGAACTTTAGCTCTCACGACACGGCAAAATCAAACGCGCTTCCTGAAGCCAGCAGCAATACAATCAATTTACAATAGTTCGGAAGAGAATTTTGCAGAATCATATTGCCACTCCCAACGCAGTAGTCAGGTTGGCATGCAGTAGAAGCGTGCAAACCGCTGTTTTGCGTGCGTCAACTCTTCGTTGTTAAGGACCAATGTGAAGCCGTTATCTTATCAAATATATAGTTTCCGACCCGTTATGTCAACTTCTCCACACATTTGAAATATTTTTTGATATTTCATTTTTTTAATTCGATATTTGATGACAACATTTAAACAGATCGTTAGAAGGATTGAGAGTTGAGCTGTCCGGCAGTCAACCTACGTACGGTGTAACAGCTTTGTAAAGCAACAGGACATACAAAATGCGGAAACAGGGTCGTTTGCTTGTTGTAAAACACAACAAAATAAGCGTTGCATCAACAGTTCAATATTTCGAAGATTAGGTTCAGTGTCAACGTGAGTGAGTGCGCACACACTGATCATAGTTAATCCTCAGTAGGTCATAGGTCATGGGCAACATGTTATGAGACCAAGTTCCAAAGTTCTCCAACAGAATCCATTGAACACCGAGATGAAAAAAAGTACATGTATGTAAAATTGTTCTTTATTTAACGAACAACTGCAAGGTAAATCGGGGACCTTAAATCCAGATGATCAAGTTTTTTTTCTTTCACAAATGTCCTGATTTCCGGATCTATAAATATAGACCGAGAGATAGTGAAGGTAAAAATTAGCCGTGACCTCATCGTCTGTCTGTGCGGAGCGGAAGTGGTGTAATCTAACCGAGAGACACGTCACACTCCGTAAGAGGTGGCCGTTATGAACTTATTACAAAGATAATGAGCATAGACCGTTGGAACGAGCCCAACATCCCAGTTCAGGCATGAAAACCAAGATCGCAGCCGAGAGATAGGGCGGTATGACATCCGATTGTCTACCTATCAGTACAGGTGCGCTATAATTAGTACACATGGGTACATACATATGAGTGTCGTGGATTGATTGTGCTCACAAGGGCCCACTTGGTCACAAGTAAGAGATGCGATAACATTTCCACGCAACACCGAGATAAACTAATAGATTTGGAGAGATTTACTGATAAACGGTTACAGTCGTTTTAGAATTCTGTCCTGATTTCCGGATGCTTGACCTACAATTTGACCAGTGTTCGTTATGTGGTTGAACTAGATCTGTGAAAAACTACTTTATCATGTTTAGGCATGCTTTTTCATTACAGTTGACAAAAACGTTATAATAACGGACGAAGCGTACGTCTAAATTACATACGGAACCACATGACGTATTGGCAGAAATAAGGATGACCTTGAAACACAATACAATAAAGCAAACACAGAAAAGGCCGCACACCCTTTATAACACAAGTTTTCGGGTTGAGAGTCGATATGTTTATTTTTACTTGACCTAATTAATATCTTCTAATGTAGGTCAAGGACCATCGCCATTCAATGCAAATTATATTAAAAGCATATCTATTCGTCCCCTTAAAAGCAGTAAGCACATCGTCGGGTATTTGTGTTGGTGTCTAGCAGCGTAACTGCTACAAGTCTCAATTTTAATGGCAATAGACAGCTATCGTATCCGCAATATAAACGTGTTTTATCATTCCTTCACATACCAGTTCTAATGACCGATATACCATGATTACATGCTGTAGAGATCTGACGAAGTCCTGACACTGGACTATTTACATTTATAATCCAATAGTCAAGATTAACCTTCTTAATAAAATAGAGTAGCAGGCAGTCTGTCCTATCATGAATTCAAAATATGTTGTTAGTATAATCAACCTTTTAACTGTTAGCTAAGCGATATGCTGATATACAGAAGTCTGGGCGTTGTATAAAGTGTTCTTCAGAGAGTCGGTAACAATCTGAAGTAGGAAGAAATATCTGACGATGTGCTTCCTATTTGTGAAGGAATGTCCCGACCAGATTATCATATTGATTTGGTGGTTCTTAACTTGCACCGTCAGCTTACATCCAGATAACGTCTGCTTATGACGTCACTAGTTGCACTAAACACTAACATATGTGGTAAAAAAACATGTAATACATTTGACAGGTGCACATATGATTTATCACGGTATGAATTACTGTGATAGTCATACCTATCAACTAACGTGTTTATTGTGTCATCTTTTCATTAGAAAGTAAGGAGGGCGACGAGAGCTATTACTAATGTTAGCAAAGTTATCAAGAAAGAGAAACTGTTTAGACAACCTGCTGAAAAAATAATGTCAAACACCGAGCAAGATTAGTCACGTAAATGTCGGTCAATTACATAATTAGTGTGTTGGGTTACACCGCCGGAAGTCCCGGGCGGCGTGTCTGTACCTGCACGAGCGCGCGAGCATCGCTTTGATTCTATCGGCGAAGTAATTATACATTATCAGTGTTTTGTAAATCTTTGCAGGAAATTAATCGGCGGCACCCATCCCCGTCATTGCAGCTCGACGACTTGTCTGGTGATGCGATAGCCCCGGCGATCGATTGGCCTATTAACAGCCCGATACGAGATCGACCGGAGATCTGTGCACTCCACACATACCGAAGCATTCCCCAAATAACCGACGGAGGCGTTTAGATTAAGCTTGCACCAATTGTCATTTTTTGCTGTGAATTGCTTGACAAGTTTAAATTTGTTTAATGTGCTTGATGTTTTACACGACACGGCATGACTCGAGTTGTTCTTAAAGAGTCCTCAATATGTCACGAGAACACGAACGCACCTTGGAAAACGCCTTACAGGTATCTTAACAGTTAATAACGGCGTTCGCGAAATATTTGACCTATAATTATATTTATAAGATCTGGTTATGTACGTGCCTCAGTCTGACGGCGTATTGACGGATACGAACGATTTATGCGATCGAACAGTCTCGAGCAGACGACATGTTTTCTCTCCCCATGTGTGTATTAATCGCATTCCAACATACCTGTCCAAGAATAGACGATTACATCACGATGATACAACAGTGAAAGGATATTTAATGCTCTATGCAGACAACCCATAGCAGTGTTTCCGGTGTAGGTAGATTATGTACGAATATTAAAAATCTGGGCACGCGTGAAACAAGCTCGAAATGCCGCCTGACCAGTCTCCGCACGAGTAGGCTGGGTGCCCTAGTTCCGGTGACGTCATTTCCCAGACATGCCCTCGGGCCCTGTCATGCTGTTGTCGCTTCACCTTGATAGAAGCGAAGCGCGTCGAGTATTTCATTGACAAAATGTATAGTAGCGGAAAAAATTGGCTGGAAATTTCTGTCACTACGCATGAACATGGTGTACTATACACATAACGCGGCGAGCCAAAAGTGTAACGTGCCATTAGTCAGGCCACATGTTACGTTTATAAGCAGACTTATATTTTTGTATACAGGTTCACTGAGAACGCCTGGAACATTGCCAATGTTGCTTGAAACTAAAAATCTGTGTATATAGATAATCTATGCTTGCATGTGTGTAGTACTGCTGTACAATACAAGGGTTGAAGGCCGATAACGTGTTTTCAGCGCATTTATAGACAAGATGTAGCGCTATGACGTCACGACTCTGATCTATAAGTGACACCACAATTTCACGCTGCCAGGGTAGCCCGCCTACCGACAGAATCTTCGATGTGTGCTGTCTATGCCTTTTGATCCAGAATGTCTGAGAATAGTGAATCCCATCACCTTTTATTGTATACCAAAGTACTAACACTTCGTATTCAATAGAAGTCACCCTTTTTTTTCGGTCCGCCAGCACAGTATCATCTTCCTTCCCAAACATGACAATCAATGTACAAGCAGGGAAGTAAGCAAGAGGCCCATGGGCCTAGACGATCACTTGAGTTATACTAAAGTTATTTTCGTGTTTAAAACTTAAACTGAGAAAACACCTTCAACAGTGAGGGTATTTCAGAGAACTCTCAGCAAATGGGATTAGATTTGTGAATGTTTAACACTCGGCTTCGGCCAAGCTTAAATTTAGATAATCAATAATTAAATATGATTTCTCGGGTTGATATGTATTTGTCATACCTTCAGGGTAGGGAGGAATTCTTTTAGTCATTGTTACGTCATTATCATCATTACGATAATTTCTTTGGTAGTCACATTTATTGAGAAAAAAACCCGAACATTAATATATTTAGGTACAAATTGGCTATCAAACTATATATATAAGCTTTTGTTTATGGTTATAATCCTATGGTTCTAAAGAGACTTGCAGAAACTTTATGACAACGCGTTAAATCTATGGCGCATCATTCAATTTGTTTTCAAAACGTTTGTTTCTGCCATTCGTTCATGATCCAGTCGTGTCGTCCCGTGAATTTAGAATTTTAACAGAATTCCCAGAATGGTTTCTGCGGTTGACGTTCGATCCCTTGCCGAATCGGTATCCGTAGACAATATGCATTTATTCCCCCAAAAACCTAATGTGACATTGCGTGGTAAACAGCGCATGAAACAGGATACAAATGTTGTAAACCAAGCTGATAGCAAAATACATGTAGTCTTCAAAATACGTTACCACGCATAATGATGCTTGTAGGGTTGCATACCATCAAAATGTTAAGAATCTGTATATCAATACCTAAATAACTCCAAACCGAATATATTTCAATGATTTTTTTTCATCACGTGACGTGGTCTACACTTTCTTCTGCGACTCTTACATATTACTGAGAAACCAGTAAATATATTGTACAACTCAAGATCGGTGGTCGACTTGAAATATATTAAGTATGGGACAAATGTCATCACTTTGTTGGCTTGGGATTATACCTGTTGTTTACTTGGACAAATGTCATCACTTGGATGATTTTGAGACCATATACCTGTTGTTTCCTTGGACAAATGACACTACTTTGATAACACGAGACAATACTTGTTGGTTCCTCGGACAAATGACAACACTTTGTGAGTTTAGTTTCGCTTAGTATGTTGTATTCTCATAACAATAAACAGTTTTTCCCAATACAAACATTTTTGTAAACAAATTTAATATAAAATGACAATAGATGACGACCACACTTCATGTTAAATCGTATATAGCGTAAGTTAGTACTAGGTGTTAGCACTTTGATGCTCCGTGTCAAGGGCACGGTCAGGTATCGCCCATGTATGTAACACTTAACTCATTTACCCCTAAAATGTTGTAATGAGCTATTCCAATCTTTGAATTGGAAGAATTCAAATGTGTCTTCAGGGGTAAATGGGTTAAATACAACTTCTCCATAGGCACATGGCACAGTTATACCACATACCTATACTCACGGTCTCGGGTGTCAAATTTGATTTAGAAAATCTTGACTCGCTGGCACGAGACAGAATGTGCAAGTCGTAAGACTGTAGGATTAACTTATAGGAGAATTAAAATTCTGACCACCCCAACACTCATAAAATGTCAATATCTGATTACCTAACACACATACACATTGGCGATACTTACTCGTGCATTACACATGGAAATGTTACAATCTTGATGGATATTTAATATACTTACAGATATATACATATTTATATATATATGCTTATGTAACAGCAGTCGTATGGTCTGACAAAATATATCACAAACAGCCAACGACAATATACATAACACCAGACTTACACAAGTCCCTAATACCGGTAGTACATGCTCGTACAGTCAATGAGACGTCTAAAAGTCCAAGGCAATCACAAATGGAAAGATAGCCTTCATGTTCCAACCAAAAATTATGTCATCTCTAAAATCATACAACCCCGTCATCTAGTTCAACCTCGATTACGTACTGTACAGGAACAACAGCAATCGTCGAAACAAAAAAATCCAACGGGACATGTGCAAGTCTAAGACATTTTACGAATGGAGCAGTACAATGAAAATGCAATATTTGTATTGACTATGGTTGGCGAGCCAACTCACAAAACATTATAATAGCTTTCTGGTAACAAACAGGTCAAGCCTATGGACAAGGTGGGGCTGTCCAGACACGTTCACCTAAGAACAATGTCGTCTAACGGTTCTACGATTATCCAACAACTAGGATTATTTTTAAATGAACGTTTATGGAAATTTGCCAATCCTTTAAAAAATCTATATTAATATACATTCTAACTGCGTGAACTTGACCTCGAAACACACGTGTCTTTGTGCCTTTCATTGAATGCGTATCCCGCTGTAAATGTTTAACGGGTTCTTTATACCTGACCTACTTGTATTGCATATTGATTTACTTATAGAGTAGAAATACGTAATACATGTGGGTCGTAGGTATCACGTCATGTCAAGCCAAACCGCCCACCGTTATAAGAATACTGCCTTCACCACGTCACTGAGTGTAGTGTTCACTTTCTGGGCTACAACAAATCAATCTCGCAAGAGCTCTGCAAACAAGCTTGATAAAGTCTCCGTGAATATTAACATGTATAAAAATGAACTGCAAGGTAAACAAACAACAAAATGTTATGAGTAAAGGTACAAGTGTTAATTCTAAATAAACATTTATCGTCTTGATTAATACCTATTGGGAAAAACCGTAAGAAAGAAACCTTTTCTACGTCAAGAAAATGTGTTGTTATACCTTTGTACTTCTGCCTTTTTGTCTATTATCTATTGTACTCAAGTAAAATACAAGAAAAGCAATTAAAGGGACGTGTTTACGCCTGTCAAATCTTAAAGAAACGGTCTTTACTTTCTGTACTTATTATTACTTACTCTAAAGGATCAACACATGTACGATATGACAAAAAACATAATTCTTTACAGTGATTTCCTTCTATCTAGTCTTAGCCAAAAAATCGGACTCATCCTAAATTTTAAACAAAAAATCAAAATTGCTATAGCTTTATTGCCTAATAAAAAAAAGACATCCCTCCCTCCCCCATCCTTATCCCCACAAAAATAGCAACTCTGAACGTTTGAAGAGTCAACAGTTGACAATAACAAAATTTAAATCCCCTCCTTAAAAATATCCATCTTTCCCCCTCTTACTCATGATTTCTTAATTACGCTGACTTTGCTAAAACTAATCCGGAAATCCCTTCTTCCAAACATATGCAATACATAATGGGCAATGTTGGAAGCATTATCGCAAAAAGGAATAAAATACGAGTAAAACTCTATCCTGGTTTAGCCCTCGATAACTAGGAAACATCTACGTGATGTAACTGATGGAATTCTCAACTGAACCGAAAAAAATCTCCCTCCCCAAAGTTTCGGTTTGCCCAAACCCCAAGCCATTGATAATGTCACAACTAGTCTAGGGTGTAACCACTAGCTCATACACTCCTTTCTGTAAGAAATACGATTGATTCCAAATTAACGCATTTACAATATTTTCTCGTTAGAAATGTTTCCTTACTCCGACTGAAAAAGATTTAAATCAAAATGACGCATTTGAACTAGTTTCTCGCTAGAGACCTTTCCAACTCCACACTCCGACAAAGCAGACTCCTACTGACTTCAGTGAACAAATATTCTCGCTGTAAACATTACTTGTTTCAGATAGCACTTATAGTACACAAACCGTGATGTTTCCATAAAACATATAGCACTCATCAAGAACTGTATACAATATATATATATACACAAACCGTCGATATCTGTTATATCTTTCATATTCAATTCTAAACCAACCTTGGAACCAGTCCGTTTTGAAAACTTATTTACCCTTAACTTGAGATTTTTTCTCACCTTTTAACTTATTTACACTGAACATGCCACACTAGCTGAATATCAAAAACACTAATCATACAAAAAAAATCATAATCAGGTTCGAATGATGTCGGTATCAGAGATTCCTACACCTTCTAGAAAGGTACATGGCTTACCCGGTAGTGCATTCAGCTCCGATACCTTACATTACCCAACACATAAGACAACATAAAACAATACTTTCTGTGCGATGTAAAATAAAAACTGATGTCTAAAATGTTGTATTAGCACATTGGGCTCCTAACCGATATCAAACAGTCAACGAACTATCTTTCTGTGCACAGTAAACAAAATGATGAAACCTTTTACAAAACGTGAAAAGGTATGGATGTACCCAGAACATTGTGTCAATATTCCAGCTATGTGAACAACAATGCCATTGAACAGGATCGTGAACTACTACATTAAAAAGCTATGTACCAGAGTATGTATAACAGTTGGTGATAGCGACAACTACCTACAACACCAGATGAAGAAAAAAGACGATTTCTTTCATTATGAAAAAAGACAAAAGGACATTTAAATGCTATCCTTTGAGTTTTTTTAAACAAATGCCAAATACTTTTTAAAGCAAACACGGACAATTTAAAATTGTGTCTAATGAATCCACGTTATGTTCAGTTCACGTATATTGTTACTGTAACACGCGTAAGAGCTATCCCGTGACACACTTGTCACTTTCCGTTACACGGACACTGTGAAGGGGCCAGGACCTTAGTCGTAAATAACACACAGATAACACTTCTCTCAGTCACAAATCACGATCAACATTCACTCGAACGTGCCGCGCCTAAACCTCAATTCAAAATGGATAAAACATCACACAATATCTACGTCAGCCGACACTCGGGGCAGAGTCCACACCTGTTGGTTTCATGCTGCCTTGACACTCGGGCCAACGTATCTGCACACAAAGTTCATTAAAAGTAACAAACCGAACTTTGATTCCTTCATATTCCTGCACACCAATTTTGAATCCACAAACAAATTTGAATGGAAAACATTACCGAATAGTTCAGTGGTGGAAGTCCCTCAAGTATCTCGCTCTTTCTTGATCTTCATATCTTTGTAGTCATCGCCAAGAATAGTTGCTATTTCCCCTTGCATAAAAGCCCACGGAACGTTCGAGCCCACGAGTGGACACTTTTTAGCACTGGGGCAGTAAACCTCTGCTCCTGCCCCCTGGCGTTTGATACTATCCCTAGAGCAGGGGAAACAGAACTTATGATCCCCTATAGACGGACATTGCACAAAGTGTGTATCTTCCAATCGTTCGTGACAGATGGTACATTTGAGAGATTCAGAGGGTACTGTTGATTCAGGCATTGTTGACGTCCCCTCCCCTGTTACACCCGACGTGGTTCTCAATCCACGTAATGTCTGTTGTTGTGTACTTGTGGGGGAATGACTGTTGTGTCGCGACGACCTGCTTCCCTCATTTCCACTGCGAACTGGAGAACCGGAACCGGAAGCTAAATTGTCAGTTACATTCATTAATGCCGCCATTGGAGATGGCCCTGTATGGACAGGCCCATTTGCGCCATCTGGCGGTGTTGGAGTATGGTTACTCAAAGGCGACACTGATGTAGAACTGGCCGAGCCGTAGCCGGCGGAAGTAATTGTCAGCTTAAGAGCTTCCGTTTGATTTTGTATCCACTGTTGACGTTTCCGGTGTTCCCCGAAATCGCTATCTGGCTCCGGCGATGCTTTCCGTTTCTTTCCCTGTCCATCTAATGAGTTTTGTCCTACTGGTCCACGGGGGAGTCCGCCGGGTGTTGTTTGCCGGAAGCAAGTGGACGGTGAAGGCAAAGGCGGTATGTTATGATGAACGTATGGTGCCGGAAGTAAATCCTGTTTGACAGGTTCCTTGAAGAACCTGACAGTTTCTGACAAAAGTTCACTGAGTATCTTCCAGTCACCATGTCCATGTTTCATTTCGTATTCCAGATATTTGTACCCGGACGACAGACCTTTGCCCACATCCTTTCCACTGTCATGATGCATTTGTTTAGCCACACTTGACGCACTGTTATAAATGTTTCCTGAGCCTAGTGGATACTCCATGAACACCTTCAGTTCAAAGTCTATCCCGTTCTTTGAAACGGCATCAAATGCAAACACACGTCCAAAAACATTATGATCTTTCTTAAATCTGATTTCAAATGGTACTGATGATGATAACATTGACACAGTTTCTCGTACTATAGGTGGTCTTTTGGCCATTTCCTCTGGAGAACTAAACTTGAATGGATTTTCCTCATTATGATGTGAGTTATGTGAATCCCCCTCCTCTCCGTCGTGTTTACCGTTATGTAGGACATTTGGCGGGACGGGACCGCTAAGATTTGACCCGGGACCCGAACCGAACCCATGACGTCCCGGGGGTAGGATTCCAATACCGGCTGTACTGTGAATCAGGGGATGATGCATTGGGAATACAGTTCGTGACGTAACAGGGATAGTTGGGGTCCTATGATGGTCTGTTGCGGTGTCATCACCCCTCCCATGAACCCCATTTGGCCCCGCAGGTGGGATACCATTTGCCAATCTTTGAGGAGACGCGCTGTAATCACCTATAATGTTTCTATTTCTATTTTCATACCTTTCGATTTGGCCCGGAAGTGGTCTCGGAGGTTCCATAGGTCCATGTTCCGATGTACTTCTATTAGATGATAAATTCCCATGAGGTTGATGAGATTTTAATGAAGGTCTCGATTCATGAAATCCATGTGATCTTTTCATTTGTCGTGCGGCATCAAGGACCATTTCAATACGATCCGCTCCTTCATAATTAACACAACCACGACACACAGGTTCAGTAAAATCATGGACCATCGCCCAGGGCATTCTAGGCAAGTCGCATAGGTAACATTGTTGTCGGGGCGCCCTGTGCGGCATTGACATGTTGCCGAACGTACGCCTCTCACAGTCAGCCGCACATGTAACTAAACTTCACGTTAGACGTGTAGTAGAAGCACAAATATTCCCGATACGCCTTGAATTGATTCATAACCAACTCACACTACCGCCATCCACTTGAAAATTTACGATATGTATGGCCTGTCTGCGCATGCGTTTGTATTTGTAAACTCGATCGACCTCCGTGTGTGTTGTGTACGTGTGTGTGTTGATATTCACGTTTGCACAGAGCTCAAAGCAATCACGCAACCGACCCAGCTGAATTACAGCGCTATTCGATATCTAAAACACCAGGGGATACGCCAGTGTTCACCTGCATAGTAATAACAGCGGAAAATCCTTGCAAGCGCCTATACACACACGCAAGGGTGAATTGTCTATACATTATGTGTGCTTATGTCGCAAACAAGAATAGGTGATATACGTCACAGATAAAGCCAGTATAGCGGGCCACGGCTGTCCTTAGATACCGCACTCTATTCAACAACTCGTCAATAGGTTTGACATACTCGACCGCCACTGTTGTTAGGCACTGCGTGTTATTTTGGTATGTGATTTGACCGACTAGAGCGATTTGCTTTCTAGACCGAACAATAGAACAAGTGCTGGAGGCGTGTCACATTTATGAATCGTTCGGAGAACACCTCTCCGAATGGTACTGTTGCCAAATAAAACACTGTCCGAAACAGTTTTTACTCAATTTATATTATTTTTCCCCGTGGTTACTGTTATTGGAAATAAACAGGATACCACACATTGTATTACACCAAGTCACGAAATGTATGCAATCACATGAAATGGGGAAAAAGCTTTGTTGATATTATGACAGTCTCGCGTGCTGCGCGGAACTTTATTTTCCACATTCTGATTAAAGAGTATTAATTTACTTGCTTTCGTGCCTTGAATACTTCGTGATACAAGTGAATGATGAACTCCGCGAAACACATCGATAATACGAGATTAAAGGCAGGATCTTGGGTTTGCAGGCAAACACGACACAAAAACGTTTATTTGTCTGGGTTTCTCTGAGGGAGAGGAAATCGATGGAAAATCTATCAGACTTCATGTGGCTTGTGCGTGTCTGCCCTCGTTTTCCCGACCATGGAAACAAATAGCCTGACAGTGTTAATGACGTCACGCAAGCAGCGTAACTTTGGAAGCATGCCAATAATTTTTTTCTGACAAATCATCAGGCCTCTATGTACATGGGTGCTTTATCAGACTGTTTCCCGGTTCTGTCATGCATAGCAGATGTGGCGTCTGCCTCCGCATGTTTGCCCTGACCCATTTGCTCTAGATGACGCCACTCTCGAGTCAATATTCGCAAGGACTTTTCATAGCAAACAGGCACATACATTAGAGTACGCTACATCAATATCGATACGTAAGCAAGGGTCTGTGGTTTGTGTAATCAAATATCAATTTGAAACATCTGACTGTCACAAAAATTATGATAATGTCAAGAAAATGCATCTAGTCCATTCCGTTAAGATTACAACAATGTAAAACTAAGCACACAACCGGGGAACTACTGCCACTATTATGTAACTGTTTCCTTTATAATAGTGTAGATGCATATGTCGCAATTAGTTGTGAATTTTCATGTAGACAACTGTCTGCACAAATCCGATATGTTTGAAAATGCTACATATTTGTAAGTGAGTGCCATGATGCATTGCCGTTTATTTTGGGGTATCTTCTTCCGTTTTGATGACCACAATGCCTTGCCCTTAGTTTAGATATAAGAACGATGCCTTGCAGGTAATTTATGTATCTTGTTTCCATGTCGATGTTGTTTTGCCAATACCTCTGTGACAACAATGCCTTGCCGTTTTTTTTTAATTTATCCTGTTTCCTTGCCGTTTGTTTGGATGTCATGTGTGAGGGCTATAATTCTTAGCCGTTTTTATGCCTATTTTTGAGGACCACTGTGCATTACATTTCATTTTGATGTAGCATGTCTCCTTGCCGTTTGCTTTGAACTTTTCTGTCTTTGTTGTCAGGCACATGTTAAGCATTGCCGTCATATTACATGATTTGATTCACGGCTCCGAAAGATCAAGAATACCTCGATGCCTTGCCGTTTGATTTGATGTCTCTTCTGCTTCCGTCATCTGTTCATCTTGTCTTAGTATTCCGATATTGGATATTGTGGGCCGACGCTGTATATAGCAATGTTTAAGACTAGGATATGAATATGGTATTTGAGTAGATTTTCAATAATATATATTTGACACCCTTAAAGTGTGTTTCGACTCTTGAGCGCGAAAGGAACTGTAACAAAATGACACGGGTCAAACGAAATCCCCGGGAATCTATAGGAACTTTCATCCTGTTTTTCTAATAATTTTGGCTTTTCATTTGTACACATGTATGCAAGAATATAACCGAAATCTTAAATTGTGATAGTGCATTTGTTCCAAACGAAAAGTCTCCCTTCGTCTTTGCATGAGTACCAAATTAAAGAACTTCGGTAGTTTCCTGTTGCGAGGCACCCAAAATTAAAAAAAAAATCATCCACGAAAAAGGTCACATCGATCCCCCACAGAACACAATTATAATATTAAATGCTAAGTTTTATGTAACTACGTATATATATATATGTATATCGACTTGATTTTCTGATTTATAATATATATGTATATATATATATAAACGCTGTACTAGACCATTGCAATATTAATGTGTTCGACGTCGTGAGAGCACTTGCTAAACTCCACTGGCAATGATGTGTTACACTAGCACGGTAACAAGTACCAAATTCCACATTACCAGCAGTACTTGTGTGGAAAATAATCACAAACAAGTTCTTGTTAACTTTTGATATTTTTCGTATTTTCCAAAGTTAATTTATAATATTTTATTTGTATTGTGTTTGCCCAAACAACCTTTATTGTTAATTGGTCATCTGACCTAGTTGCCCTTGGTCGAATTGTTAGATGTTTATTGCTATTTCAATGTAAGCTTGCCATACTTAAGTCGCCATCGTGTCGGGCGTAGGCGATACCCTTTGTTTACTTTTGGTGATGGTGTAAAACTCGTATAGCGATAAACGGGATAATAATAGATCGGCCAGATGTTGAATGGTAGAGCGAATATTACCGGCTTATCTCGGCAAAGTGTGTAGTTATCATGAGTGTATTTCCGTATCCCAGCCAAGTAACTAGGTACGTGCATCACCTCGTCATGACGTCATCAGGTCGGTCTGTATGTATATATATACATGTGTGTGTATATATAAAGATCGTTATATACCAAACAACTTTGTTTGCCGTAAAATTCGACGATTACCTTGTAGAACACCAAAATCTACATAAAGGAAAAAAAAATTGAAATACCATGAATCCAGATATCGCTACTCCATCACAATTGAGTTAAAATAATCAAACCGGAAACACACTTATACTCAAGTTACCAAATCTTGGATATGATGAAGATAACCATACATGCGCGACCTCCACGTATAGTCTGGTGAAGTTACACAGACTCCTTACAAATGTTTTTGGCGACCTAAATACTGAGGTCTCCCCTGATACAAGTAACTCCGCCTAAGGTTCCGGAAATGATTGCACGTGATGTTCGTGCACTTAACGTGCTGTAATATTTAACTACGTCTTACAATCTACAAAATAAGATACACATTATCCCAGGTCAACATTTTTTTAAACTTTATTAACACTGACAGTATTTGCGTTTTGTGGAATAAATGCTTTAAATGAGATCAACATAAAACATTAATAAATAGTTTGACATGTAGCAGTGGCGAGTTCGCCTCGACACAATTGAAAAATGTCCAGTCAAACGAGACGGAGAACATTATCAACACAGCCACGTTATGAAAAATGCTTATATTATATATCAACATGACAGGTCATAACATGTACATTATAGAAACTACATTAATAACAAACGAGATCACATGAGAGTCATTTACAACGTTTCCACTCGTATCGACACCAGTGTTGTGTTATCGCTGGTTATATGAAAACCAGGATAATTACAAATTCAATTTATTACTACATTTACAAATGCAATGTATGTGTGATTTGATATCACAATCGAAAAGGAAATACATCTCACTTGTAAAAGTAGAGTCAAAGATTGATGTGTTCGAATAAAAATATCTAGAGAGCAGTAAATGCTTTGGACAAAAAATAAATTAAAATTAATCAAAATTGTCCTGCAAATTGTGGGCAGGTACCGCGTTAAACAGAATCAAAGTTTGGGCAGGTACCGCGTTAAACAGAATCAAATTGTGGGCAGGTATCGCGTTAAACAGAATCAAAGTGTGGGCAGGTACCGCTTTAAACAGAATCAAAGTGAGGGCAGGTACCCCCTTAAACAGAATCAAAGTGTGGGCAGGTACCGCTTTAAACAGAATCAAAGTGAGGGCAGGTACCCCCTTAAACAGAATCAAAGTGTGGGCAGGTACCGCTTTAAACAGAATCAAAGTGAGGGCAGGTACCCCCTTAAACAGAATCAAAGTGTGGGCAGGTACCGCTTTAAACAGAATCAAAGTGAGGGCAGGTACCCCCTTAAACAGAATCAAAGTGTGGGCAGGTACCGCTTTAAACAGAATCAAAGTGAGGGCAGGTACCCCCTTAAACAGAATCAAAGTGTGGGCAGGTACCGCTTTAAACAGAATCAAAGTGAGGGCAGGTACCCCCTTAAACAGAATCAAAGTGTGGGCAGGTACCGCTTTAAACAGAATCAAAGTGAGGGCAGGTACCCCCTTAAACAGAATCAAAGTGTGGGCAGGTACCGCGTTAAACAGCATCAAAATGTGGGCAGGTACCGCGTTAAACAGAATCAAAGTGGGGGCAGGTACCGCGTTAAACAGAATCAAAGTGGGGGCAGGTACCGCGTTAAACAGAATCAAAGTGTTGGCAGGTACCGCGTTAAACAGAATCAAAGTGTTGGCAGGTACCGCGTTAAACAGAATCAAAGTGGGGGCAGGTACCGCGTTAAACAGAATCAAAGTGTTGGCAGGTACCGCGTTAAACAGAATCAAAGTGAGGGCAGGTACCGCGTTAAACAGAATCAAAGTGTTGGCAGGTACCGCGTTAAACAGAATCAAAGTGAGGGCAGGTACCGCGTTAAACAGAATCAAAGTTTGGGCAGGTACCGCGTTAAACAGAATCAAAGGGTGGGCAGGGACCGCGTTAAACAGAATCAAAGTGTGGGCAGGAACCGCGTTAAACAGAATCAAAATGTGGGCAGGTACAGCGTTAAACAGAATCAAAGTGTGGGCAGGTACCGCTTTAAACAGAATCAAAGTGAGGGCAGGTACCCCCTTAAACAGAATCAAAGTGTGGGCAGGTACCGCTTTAAACAGAATCAAAGTGAGGGCAGGTACCCCCTTAAACAGAATCAAAGTGTGGGCAGGTACCGGGTTAAACAGAATCAAAATGTGGGCAGGTACCGCGTTAAACAGAACCAAATTGTGGGCAGGTACCGCGTTAAACAGAATCAAAGTTTGGGCAGGTACCGCGTTAAACAGAATCAAATTGTGGGCAGGTATCGCGTTAAACAGAATCAAAGTGTGGGCAGGTACCACGTTAAACAGAATCAAAGTGTGGGCAGGTACCGCTTTAAACAGAATCAAAGTGAGGGCAGGTACCCCCTTAAACAGAATCAAAGTGTGGGCAGGTACCGGGTTAAACAGAATCAAAATGTGGGCAGGTACCGCGTTAAACAGAATCAACGTGTGGGCAGGTACCGCGTTAAACAGAATCAAAATGTAAAAACGTCACGTCTTCATAAATCTAAATACACGTCATTATCTATACGCTGATTTTATCAGTATAAACTGAATTCTTTGTTGTGTCAATAACTTTTCAAATGTGGAATGAACGGCATTTGCCTAGTTGCTGCTAGTATGAGTGCAATGTATGTACTACAGAAATATTTCATATATCAACGAACTACAAACATTTCGGTTACGGTTACATATCAGGGTGAGATATGCAAAATGTACTGGTAATTAACCATTGTCATGGCTATCATATAACTAGGATTTCATTTCGCTTTGTGTTCATATATCGTCGTCGTCATCATCACCAAGTGGCAGTATTGGAAATACATTTTAATACTTGACAATATCCTGTTCAGAGGTACAATTCTATGTATTAGTGCCCGATTACCGTTTAGTACAAATATAGGACAGAATAAAAAGAAAAACACATTTAAAAGTAAAGTAAAATCATTCTCCAAATCTGTTCGAATATAGGACCATAACTCTAAACAAAAATCGTTTTCAAATATCATTTGTATGAATAATTAACGTTAATTTTGAGGAACATAAGAGATTTTTATGTGATGTCTATTGTTTAGATTTGAGATGGAATTTTGTCTAAATGCAACAGCAAACAGCCAGCATTTTGTGACGATATATCTCTGAACAGAATTTGCTTTGTTTATGTATTGTATGCTTGCTTTCGAGTTACATTTCCAGTAGATTTTCGGTAGGTATTCAATGCAGCGCACCAGTAAATTATTCTGGGTACTTCCGTACCATCGCTTTATGATGGATAACAATTTTAAAGCTATGACAGATCATTTTAATTATCGGCATCCATTGAAATATGAATCCAACTTGATAATAGAAAATTACATGGAACATTCTTCATACAGAATACATTTGGCTTTCTTGTCCATCTATATACCTTATTACCAATTGTAGCAAACGTTCGTTTGTGTAAAAAAAACATAGGTATGTACTGACGTTCAAATCTTCATTAATAAAAACTAGCATGCATTTGACAGATTAATGTTTTATAACTTCATAAAGTAAGGAACAAAAACAAACATAACGCAAAAATGATAATTGAAAGCAAAGTGATGGTAAAGGAGTTTATAATGATTCAAGGGTTGAAATACCTTCTCTTTTCACCCCAGAACGCCAGACAAGACTACCACGCTTCAGATACTTCTGAACGGCAAACTCATAAAAAAGCACGATGTTACGTGCTAAAGTACGACAAACTAGAACGCACGAACAATTCTCATCTAGTGTCCTTTTCGATATTAGAGAATGTCTGCCCAGACGAACTTGCACGCCACCGTCGAGTGCTATCGGATCATCAAAGCTGGTGTGCTTGGGGTGTTGGGACGTTGGAGGGGTCGTCATAGAGGTGGGGTAATCACTAGCTGTGTCATAATCAGGCACACACGCAACAACGTCTAACGAATTAACGTAGAGGGATCCTCGCGCATCCAACAAACGACAACTTCAATCATAGCCTAGTGATATTTTATTGATTGAGTTATGTCCGAAATTATGAGTTATTAATCAATTTGGAATATTCCAATGGCTACTTGACATGAAATGTCAAATGTGAGAATGGTTCCCTAGTTCTGTTTTAGTGAAGAACAGAAGAGCTGATAAGAGATTTTAGGATGATAATAACAGTCACGAGGCATTTCACCTCGTATATGCTGATAACGTAATTGTGTATATTCCATCTTTTATGTGGTGTATACACATATCAACAAAACTCAACCACAGCCTCCGACATGCAACCAATGCTTTCTATATCGGAATAGCCATCGGGAATTTACCCGTAATGTGTGTATGCCACACACAACGCACTGAACACGACGTGTAACACGTGACTTCATCTGAATGTCTTTAGTAAAAACAAGCAATACATGTGTACATATACAAGGGAAAACAACAGAAGCCGACCAAACACAAAAACAAATTGAACAAGAGGCCCAATGGGCCTGCATCGCTCAACTGGTATTAATCTCACACTTGTTATCTTAAGATTTCATAAGAACCTATTAAAAGATTTAAACATATGACGCCTGTGACCTTGATTGTCGAACAAGGACATTAGGTTGAAAGTGGATCAATGTCATTCATTTGACCGAACTTGGTAGCCCTTCATACCAGCATGCTACAGGCCCAATATCAGTACCCTGTGCCTTTTGGTTATTGAGAAGATGTTGTTTGAAGATTTTGACATATTTGACCCCTGTGACCTTGAAAGTGGGTCAAGGTCATTTATTTGAACAAACTTGGTAGCCCTTGATCCCAGCATGTCACTGGACAAATATCATCATCCTAGGCCTGTTGGTTACTGAAAAGAAGTTGTTTAACGTAAAAAGTTGACGCCGGACAGACGGTTGACGGACGACGGACGGGCAGGTGAGCTAAAAACATTAAGAACCGTATACAAAACCCCCATACTACAATAAATTGTAAAAACATTTGAACGGCTTCCTATCTTCCAACGATTCCTGAGTAGAATTTTCTTTATGGTTACATCTGGCAGCTAACTGAAATTTCGCAAGGAGTTAGCTTAAATGTGCAAGTCGATGCAGAAAGCAAAAAGAAAGCAAAGATTAACTGCCTCATAAGGCTATTTCTTTCATTTTGGACTCGTCAGTAGTATTAAAAGCTCACAGAATGAAAATCGGTGTCCATTGATTTTTAAAAATCATAATAACACAGTAAAAGGGAATGTGGCTATAAAAGCGACTTTTATAACGTTATAAATTGAAAATGTTTGGCAATAACAGACAACATATTTTTTAAACTAGTCGTTCATGTAAATCGTGCCAAATAAATTCATGCTACAAGGCTAAGGCAAACTCCGGAGATTGTCTACCAGCTAAATCTACAATCTAGTGACCTAAACTAATAGTAAAATTTATATATTTTGAAGGAGTTTGTATAAATTATGAGTTACATAATGATAGATCATGTAAAATTTTGATACAAGGTACCTAAAATGAAATTATGATAGCACATAGTTAATGTAAGTGCTGACATTTGAATCTGTCTAATGATCAAAACACCTGTCAACACAGCGTGAATACCTGAAGTGTGATGTAACGCATAACGTCCGGTTGTCAGAATACGTTATAAGAATAAGTTTATACATATGACAGGTTTGAAATGCGAATAATGGATGACGTTATTTCCTCTGTCACGTAAGACAGACGTCAGGTAATGCCAGGCATACAGGAGTTATAATATTTACAAGCTTACCAAGGTCATCTAGAACATCATTATGTTAATCGCAAGAAGGAAACAAGAACCGGAATCTAGATCAGTCGTATGAGCCATACGGTAAATGTCATTTAATAGCAAGTCCATCGTGTGATATATGCATAGGGGTCCAACAAAATATAAAATCACTTCATTAAATAAATAAGTTGTAGAGAAAGATTTACGGTTTTCGGTCATAATAAATGAAAACTGAACTGTAAAAAGTTCTAGGTTGACCTGTAACGCTCAGTTGACATTCAAACTGGCAACACAAAGCAGGTGAAAGCAGGTCATATTCAGCTTTTGTGATACGAAAGTGATTGAGCAAAGACAATGTTTAACAAATGTTAAAATATCACTCCCGCAATGTTTGTGTAGCTGGTTCAACCTAAAAAACAAAACGAGATTAGCGTGAAATATTAATTGTCACAAACGTTAAATAGGTTCTTCCAACATTGTATTTACTGTATGAAGAAAATAATCAGCAAAATTACCGAAAATTTCTTCGATAAATCCGTGCGAAAAGGGTTCATATTCAACTATCAGTGAAAACCATGTCGTCAATTGTCAAGGCATTATGAGAATGTGTTCACAATCCAGCAATAACATGAATATTCTAATATTGATAACTTGCAATGTTGGCATAGTATCAATACAGGGCTAACGTTTCATCTTGTTACTGGTTCGTCTGAAGTGGCAGGGAAGTGATAGGCCTATAATAGGCAGACTTTATCGCAATACAGCCAAGAGATTGGTCAGTTATCATTTTATGGGCACATTCAAGATAAAACTATCTTTTGAAACTCACTGAATCTTCAATTGAATATAAATATGCATTTTATAAGGTATGCATATAACCAAAGTAATTCAACAAAACAGCTTTTGTTCGGTTATCTAAAGCAGCCAGTTCGCATTAACTTGTTGTTTTCTTGGTCATTAAATACCAATGCTTTATGGGCACTTAAAATCCTCTAGCTAGAGTTACTGCTTGCTATATGTCCATAAAATACTTCTGCGTCGCGGTAGCTCTTGTGTCGTTTAATTGTAAGGCGCATTTTGTACATGAAAGTTAATTCATTATTGGGTTATTTACATGACTTATTCCGAGATCTAAAAACGTCAAATAGAAAAAAAATACATTTACATACTCGAGAGTGGTTATAATATTGCGAGAGATAGGTCCATATTTACGTCCGTATCACCAATCTGGTCTTACATTTACAGGTCAAGCTCAAGGAAGATCTGACGCTGCCCAGACCTAACACACACAATACATTATTATCTGAAGTTTTTACTACGAACTCAATGCCTAACAGCATTAAAGACTGTATATTACTGGAAAAATCAAAATACAATTAAACATACATATTAAAGACATTTACATCACATGACTGTGACTGGTGTTAGCACTGTGATTGATACTGGTGCATTTGTCATTTTATCGTCACATATATATTTGAATATGTATGAACTAGAAAATATAAATGTAATTAGCAGAATATAGTTTAGAAATCATTTTCAATACATATGCTATATTTGCGTTACTCTTTCTCCACATGAATTGCTGTTCAATTAAATAATGTACAAATGCATTGTGCAAGACTTTCCGTTCCTGCTCTTTGCAAGGCAGTATTATAAACTGTATTATACATAGTTATCCGAAAGGATGTATAAAATACCAAAAACAAATAATTGTGAAAGAGAAAGACGGAACAAGTTCAAGTTAACATGCACCGTAGGTAAACAAAACATTGAATTGTAAAAACCTGACGAGGAAAAAAGATGTTTTGTTCTAC